ATATATTAATGAATATTACTTTATGGGATTAATATGATTTATGGGATTAATATATATTAATGGATATTACTTTATATTTCTATTGTATTAATTCTTTTTGGTCGGACCGAGTTTGAAACATATTTTGGACAAAACCACAATTTTCGGACCGAGTGATAGTGGTGGTGTTGTCCAAAATATGCTATTGTCCGGAATGCCCATTCCGGACGAAGTGGTTATTTTTGCTAAAAAAATTGGTTAATTTCTTCAAATACACATTAAAATGTTGTTAGATTACTTAATTTCCAGTTTATTAATATACGATAATTCAAATAAATATTAAAAAAATAATTATAAATATCAATAGTCTGATGAACTAAGATTCATTAATATATTAGTATTATATATTTAAAATAATATTTATTCATATATAACAATTTAAAAAAAAAAAGAATTACTATAATAAAAAAAAGTTAAAAAAAAAGAAATTAATCCAACAAAATTTCAAGAACAATGCCCAAAAACCCTCATCTTCTAATTTATTTTAAATATATGAGAAATAGCATATTTTGGATAACATCACCACTATCACTCGGTCCGAAAATAGTGATTTTGTTAAAAATGTCTCAAGGGTCTGAAAAAAAAAGAATTAATACAATAGAAATTAAAAAAAATAACTAAAAGAAGTTAATAATCCCATAAAGTAATATTCATTAATATATATAAATATTTAATATTAAAAATAATATTTATTAATATATAATAATCCAATAAAAAAGAAATTAAAAAAGAATTAATTAAAAGAAATCAATACGCCAATCAAAAATATTATTAATATATTAAATATTATATATTAAAAATAATATTTATTAATATATAATAATCCTATAAAAAGAAATTAAAAATATCTAATATAATAGTTCAATAAAGTTAAAAGGAAGATATACAAAAATGGTCCCTATGGTTTGGTAAAAAGACTCAATTGCATAAATGGTCTCTAAGGGTAAAATAATGATTTAAAAAAGTTAACAGTCAACCTGTTAAAATTAACGACATAGGGACCAAATCCACAAAGGTATCTAAAATTAGACCACTAGTGCACCATCAAACCTTATTGGACCAAAACCGCATAATTTTGACAACGACAGGGACCGTTTTTGCAATTTTGTCGGTATTCATTGTATTCCCCATATCTGTAGGGTATCTTTTTCACCCCACTTGTTGCGGCTTAGCAGGGACATGGATGGTATTGGGATTGGAGGTGGGGTACGGGGATGGAGATTGCAGCCTCCGCCAATATCCACCCCCATTTGCATCCCTAAATGTATATCACTCGACCGCTTAAACTTAAAAAAAAATAATAAAAAAAAATAATAAAAAAAGCTTCAGCCCCTATACTTATAAATTTTCAAATATACCAACTTGGGAACTTATGTTTAATTTTTTGGCACTTCCATGAGGTATTTCATTACACCACAATCACATCATGACCCTGAATTTACATATTTATAAATGGAACCAACAAAACAAAACAAAAATGCATATAGCTGCCTGCATATTAAA